TCTTCCTAAAGAATGAACGTCCTGAGGCACGTTGGGTCAGCAAAATAGGCTCATGGGTTGGATCTGGCCTGCCAAGTGAATCCAGCTGGCCTGTGGTGGGTTGCTTGGCCCTGCCTGACCCAGGCACGGCAGGTAGCCTGGGCTGTGGCACCTGTGGCAGGTCCTGCCACTTCTGGGTACAGAGGTGCTGCCTGGCATGGAGCACAGCCCCCCCGCCCCAATCTTCACGGATGGCTCTCAGATACACTGGGAGCTGTAGTCCATGGGGGTGGCACAGCGGCCAGAATTGGCTTCCTGGCAGCCCCCATGGCAGTGGCTCGCTCTTGCCCCCAAGCTGCAGCTACAGCTGCTACCCCGGTCCCGCTGCCCAGGCACCCTGACCCATCTGCCCTACACCCACCATGCGGGGTGCTGGACAGGGGATGTGGGGTCTCCATGGAGACTGCCCTGGGACCCCTGCAGGCAGGGCATGCTCATCTGGGCAGAGGGGATGGAGCCATGGGTGGGTGGAGAGTAGCATCTGGGAGCGGGACAGGCAGCTAGGGCTGGGATTGCAGAGCAGTGACAGCACAGGGCAGGGGCTGGGGCTGGGGCCTGGGGCACAGCCGCGATCCACTCCCCACACCTCTCTGCAACGTGCTGGTTCTGTGGGCAGGGGCCGGCTACTGCTCGTGGAACCAGTGCCCGTCAAAGGGATGTGCAGGGAGCAGATTGTGGTTCCAACCCCACACTGTCATCTGTTGAGATATGAAAACAGTTGATCAACTTTTTTCCCAGTCCATTAGGGGTAGGATAAAAGCAATTAACTTTTAATTTGCAGGTAAAAAAAGGACCCCTGTAAGGATAGCTAAGCACTGGGACTGACACAGGTTAGGTAAGGAGGTTTTTGGAAACCCTTTCATGAAAGTTTTTAATAAAAGGTCAGACAAACAGGTATCAAGTATGGTCTAGGTATACTCATACCTCAGAGCAGAGGGACAGACTGGAATAAGATGACCTTTCCAGGCCCATGTTTCTCTGGTTGATGTCTCATCAGGAGACATGGGGTAGGAAATGCCAGAATAGAATGAAATTGGTGTGACACTTTGAACTCATGGACTCAGCAATTTAAAGCAGGTATTTGGTTTTGAGAAATTTTGCCAAAGGAATGACAGGTCTAGTGCATCCACATTGTAGCTGAGCATGAACAGTAACTTCAGGTCGGTAAGTCAGATGCCCAATATTTTTAAAAGACCAAAGCTTGATCCCCTGATGATCTCGTGCATTGGCTATACAGTAATAACATTGATTGCTGTGTTCTTATTTTAAGAACAGTATTTTATGTAATGTAACTGTGAATGTCTGTTGGCAAGCTGCAGGTTTGCATGGTGTTCC